TCAAATCTTCCTAATACTATCCCCTCAAAATCCAATAATCAGGGTGTTTATATCTGATTTAATTCAATTGATGTAATTCAAATTAATCTAATATAATACAAAACTAAATTAAATCGATATAAAATTGGATTAGCTTGAATTATAAAATTTTAAAATTGATATAATTGATTTGGTTGGTAGTTTTATATTCAAACTGTTGTTTTACCTTTAAACTGTTCAAACTGTTCAATTACAAAATAAAACTAAATTATAAAATAATTTAATTGAATAAGATAATATATTTTTTATAGTATTTAAAAATTTCTCCTTTTTTTTTTGTTTTACAAGGTAATAAGTCCATTAATTTAATTAAAAAAATAAAAATAAAATATTCCCATATTCCTTAATTTATTTATTTTTCTTAATTAATCATGCACTCTAACTCTAATTTTAAATTTCTAATTTACTTGCAATTCTACTTCTTAGGATTGATTTATAACTTTACTTTTAAAACCTTAAATTTCTAATTTGTTTCTAAAATGATATTCTAATTCTCCAAGCTAAGTTTCGAAACAAAATATCATTTTAGAAGTCTTAAAATTACATAATAGAATTAGTCTTGATATTCTATTATTCTTTGATGTTTGGTTGAGGAGTTTTAAATCTTAATTATGAATACTTCTAATCAATCCTAATGATATTTACGTTAAATTTTATTCACTTGTAGTAGGGTTGCAAGATGAGATTGAATTATTAGTGTATTAAAAAAATAGTTTTAATATTTAAGAATTATTTGCACTATTTTTGAAATTTGAAATAATCTTTTATTGTTCTTAATGTCCCTAGTGATGTAGTCAAGAGGAACTTTCAAATCTTTTTAATCTTTATAATTATAAAGAAGTATAAGAACTTATTATAATTTGTGCCTTTTATTATGTTTCTATTAATTTAGATATCAATATGTTTTATAGCTAGTTATGTTTTCTATTTAATATTAATTTTTTTTCATTATATCATATATTTAATAATTTTAAAAACCGATCAATTTGATCAAACCATACTTATTTGATTTAAATTAAATTGGATTAGTTATCATATAATAATAAATTAAATTAACTCAAAAATTTTATTAATTGATTAAATTAAATTAATTTTAAAAATATTAAAATTTAAACCAAACTATTCCGGAATACCACTACCAATAATAAAAAAACAATTCACTAATTACTAATAATCACGGATGTGATCCCTCAACCCCATATATTAAAAAAATATACAATTATAAATGATATATAATAAATTTTGGCCTAAAATATTGTTATTACAGTGATAGGCTAAAGTCTAAGTTGTTTTATATGCTCAATCTCAGCTCAAAACTTTATTAAAATTGGCTTGTACCTTGAAGAGAACTCGTCCCTTTTGCAGCATTAAGATGGTTAGAACTTAAAAAGATTCCGATGGGGACCAGCGAAAACTAGATACCCATGTTAAATTGTATATACTGGCTCTGGTACCATCAGCCTTTCAGCCACACATTAAATTTGGTCCGCGTACGTAAGTAAATTCAGAGACATTGTCGGGTTATTATTATGCCTGGTAGATGTTCCACCGAAATCGAGTTTAATGGCAATTTGAGGGTTGGATTGATTAATGTATAAATATTATCTTATAAGTTAAATTTAAAATTAAAATTTTAAAATTAATATTTAAAAAAATTAATTTTTTTTAAATATATCGTATGTATTAATGTAAAGTACACCATTGAAATATTTTAGAGAGAATAATTTTAAAATAAATAAAAATTGATTTGAGAACATTTTGTCGGTAATGGCTAGTATTCCTGATGCGATCTTTTTAATGGTTTTGGGGAGGCCTCTGCTCCCCCTTTCCACGGTCGCTCTGCCCTCTGCAATATAATCAAAGCATAAGGCCAAACGAAAATTTTGTTGCCATCTTCAGATCATTTGGGGTCCTCAGGGATTTTGCTTGGACTATGCAAGCTCAGAAGGGAAGCCATACTGTGGTCCTGGTTACGGAACTGTGGCTTTCATGTATCTTGGTTGCCGAGGCTCTGCCGAATTGTCATCCCATCGTTAAAGTGAAGACAACTCTTAGGACGGTAGATATAAACGGGAATGAGTACACATAAGCTTTGCCATTGTGGTCTGTTTAGATTTTTTTGTTTTTATCTTAATTACATAATGGGAGACAATCATCTTTCATTTTTTATTTCATTTCACCTGCATATCACATAATTTGAATTCAAGACTTTTTATATTTAAGTAAAAAAAATAATTACTGAACTATTTAGGTTGTGAGTTTGTTTGTTTAGATTTTTTTTTTTTTATCTTAATTGCATAATGGGAGACAATCATTTCCCAGCTTTTATTTCATCTCACTCGCATATCATATAATTTGAATTCAAGATTTTTTATTTTTAACGAAAGAAAATAATTACTGAACTATTTAGGTCGTGAGTTGGTTTGTTTAGATTTTATATACACAAAGGATTATATTGTTTCAAATTTGACCACTTGAAGGCTATGGAAATATAAAGACTTATCTTTAGTTCTAATTGAGTTTAAAAGTTTAGATTTTGACTTTTTATTAAGAATTTAAAATTAATCTTAAATAAATTTAAGAGTTTAAGTATTATTTCTATAGAGTAATTACCCTCATTTTAAGGAGGTTTCTCTAACTATTACAATTATTATCATAGAGAATGAGCATACTAAGAGTTTATTTTATTTTTGGCTCGAGTAATGATAAGAAAGATAAAAATTTTAAACTAATAATGTGACTTATATTATATTATTAAATTAATCAATATATACAATATTATGAGACTTAAAAAAAATAAAAAAATTTAATTATTAAATAATATAAATTTTACATTTAAATATTTAAAATGACATCACTTATATCAGGTTATGAATTTCAAATTTTCATCTCATTTATCATTATTCTTTTGGCTCAAGTCATGTGAGATTTCTTCCACGACAGGGATCAAAAAGGTCAAAAAAGAGAAAAAGTTAAGGGGCTATTTAAGTACCATTATGAAGTTAATGGACCAACATTGCACCGTCACATAATTTAAGGTGGTCCAATTCCAGA